TGAGCACATTCTGGTAAGTATGAGGGACGACTGGAAGGAAATAAAAATGCAAATAATTGATTTGCCACTGTCATGGGATTTGAAAGATGAGGTCCCCAGATTCCACCATCTTATATAATTTCCATCATTGCCAAATGTAGTTTGTACAGAAAAAAGTTCTCTATAACAACATACACTGTGCAAAACTGTTGTGAGAATTAGAAGAAATGAAGATAAACCTCTAGCCTAGAGCTCTGTAAATGGTAGCAATATTAGAAAAGAGTGAATTCATGTTTTTCTGATTGGAAATGGCAAAGGAAGATTGCAAATGAACTGCATTTCAAAGTAGGATCTTCTACACAGGTAAATGGAGAGAAGGGAGCATTCTAATGAATATTCTGATTCGTAGACTAGGCCAACAAGCATCTCATACACTAATCACTAATTTTCAAAATTCTAGAATGAAGGCTCTACAGCCTCCAATTTATCCAGTGCCAGTGCAGTGGTGTCCCCTCCAACTGATGGATACTTCTGCCTGGTGACACCCAGAGAAGACTCTGAGCCTTAGGACAGTGTGGGCGCCAACGCTGGACAGTGGCCTTGGCCTGCCTGATAACCCCTCACATTCATTGCCATCTTGTCTCTAAGGCCACAAAGGAAAAGTCTGCGTCGTCATCATCATAGTTATGATAATAATGGCTGTATTAATCTCCTATTGTGGCTGTAACAAACTACCGCAAATTTAATGACTCAACATAAATTATCTTACCATTTTAGAAGTCAGAAGTCTGAAATGGCTGTCATTAGGCTAAAATCATGATGTTGGCAGGGCCGTGTCCCTTCCGGAGGTTTCTAGGAGAGTCGTTTCCTTGCCTTTTCTAGGGGTGCCTGCATTCCTTAGCTGGCAGCCGCTTCCTCCATCTTCAAAGCATTTCATCTTCAAATCTTCCTCTGACTCTGGCGCTCACTCACTGCCTCCCCCTTTCATTATAAGAACCTTGTAATTAGATTGGACTCAGCTGGATAATCCAGGATCTCCCAAACCAATGTCGGCTAATTAGCAACTTTATTTCCACCTGCAACCTTAATTCCCACCTGCCGTGTAACATAACATACTTGCAGGTTCCTAAGATTAGGACACAGAAATCTTTGGGGTGGGGGGCATTACTCTGCCTACCACAATGGTTAACATTTTGAACACTTACCATGTGCCTGGTATAGTTCTAAGCACGTTACTAGTAATAATGCATTTAAACCTCACCACAGCTCCATGAGGTGGGTACCCATTTTACAGATGAGAAAAGTGAGGCACAGAGGAGAAGGATAACTTGCCCAAGGTAACACAGCTAGTAAGAGGCAGGGCTGAGCTGCAGATCCAGGAGTCTGATCTCAGATCCCATTCTCCTAGCCACAACCGCCCTTCAGTAATTGGAGGACAGATATACAAAATGAATTCTGCCTAATTTAATCCTCCTTTGACAACCCAGCAGCTCCTTCAGGATGTGACAGTGCCTCAGATCCATCAATATGGACTGCCATTTGCCACCAGTCAGCCAACTCTGGATGGGCTGACTGGTGGACTTCCATGGGCTGCTTCCTTCCCCAGTGGGGTTCTCATGATGAGCAACAGAGATTCTAAACTCCGCTCTGTGGTATCAGACTTCAGCTACTTCTCTTTCCCTCTACTCTCGCCATACTAGCTTCACAGACATTCCTCAAAAAAGTCAAGTCAATTTCTACCACAGGGCCTTTGCATTTGCTGTCACCCCACCTGGAATCTCTCCCCAATTTACACAAAGCTCAACCACCACTTCAAACAGGCCTCTGTCCTTGTTATTTTTATTTATTTATTTTATTTTTTGGTAAGGAAGATTGGCTCTGAGCCAACATCTGTCGCCAATCTTCCTCCCTTTTATTCCCCTTTTTTTCCCTCCCTAAAGCCCCAGCACGTAGTTGTACTTCCTAGTTGCAGGTCATTCCAGTTTCTCTATGTGGGATGCCTCCACAGCATGGCCTGATGAGCAGTGCACAGCTCTGTGCCCAGGATCAGAACCAGTGAACCGTGGGCCACTGAAGCAGGGTGTGTCACCTTAACCACTTGGCCATGGGGCTGGTCCCAGTGTCACCTTTTTAAACAGCAGCTGAGCTTCAGGCCCACTGTCATGGGAATTGTCTCCTCCTTCCCTCGCCAATATTCGGGGAGGGGGGGAGGGGTGGAGGGGAGGCATTGAATTCCTTTCTTCTCTCTGCTTTTCCCCCCTCATGGTGATGAACAAAAGGGGGCAGACTAAGGGGGTTGCGTTTGTGAGCAGGGAGGTGTCTTCACCTAGAAGCTCCCCTTGACTCTGGTGAACACAAAGGACCTGGAGCAAAAAGCAGGGAACAGAAGACCGGGGCCAGTTCCTTAGCCACCAGATCTTCAAAGGGAAGAGAGAAGAAAGTCTTGACTTGTGGAGCACCTTCTGAGCACTCGACCTTCCTACCCGTGTGCAGGAGGTGCTAGTCTTATCCCCATTCCACAGACGGGAACTGAGGATCCTGGACATTAAGAAACTGGCCTCAGATCATGTCTGGAGGGGCTGAGCAGGACGTGGATGCAAGCCAGCCTGAATAACACAGCAAATTCACCAGCTGCCGCCCAATGCTCCTCCTTTAGGGAGAGAAGAGGCAAACTGGGGTGGAGTGGGGGCTGTGTTGAAGGGATTGGTCAACTATGAAAAAGGATTTTTTTTTTCTGAATGAGTAGTTATTCTATTTAGAAGGTCACAAGGAGACAATGGGAGAAAGAAGTGAAGACTCAGGTTTGCGTCCCCCAGGAGACTTTTGTACAAGAATATCTGATTGTTCCAGTACCATTTGTTGAAAAGACTATCCTTTCTCTGCTGAGTTGCCTTGGCACCTTGGTCAAAATTCAGTCAACCACAGACGTGTGGGTCTATTTCTAGACTCTGTGCTGTTCTGTGGATCTGTGGTCTGTCTCAATTCCAATACCACACTGTTTTGGTTACTGTAGCTTTGTAGTAAGGTTTGACATCAACATTTGAGTCCTCCAACTTTGTTCTTCTTTTTCAAAGTTATTCTGATTATGCTAGGGCCTTTATATTTCCACATGAATTTCACAATCAGATCGTCAATTTCCGCCAAAAGGCTTGTTGGGATTTTGATTGTGTTGAATCTGTAGATCAACGATGTCTATTTGGAGAGAATGGACATCTTACCAACATCGCGTCTTCAGATCCATGGACATACTGTACCTCTCCATTTATGTAGATCTTATTTAATTTCTCTCAGCAGTGTTTTGTAGTTTTCGTTGAAAAGATTTAGCACATCTTTTGTCAGATCTATCCCAAAATTATTTATTTATTTTTTTATTGAAGATTAGCCCTGAGCTAACATCTGCTGCCAATCCTCCTCTTTTTGCTGAGGAAGACTAGCCCTGAGCTAACATCCATGCCCACCTTTCTCTACTTTATATGTGGGACGCCTGCCACAGCATGGCTTGACAAGCAGTGTGTAGGTCCACAGCTGGGATCCAAACCCTTGAACCCCGGGCTGCTGAAGTGAAACATGTGAACTTAACCACTGTACCACCGGGCTGGCCCTAGTAGTTTATATTTTTTGATGGTAAGTGGTATTTTAAATTTCAATTTCCAATTGTTCGTTGCTGCTATATAGAAATGCAGTCAATTTTTGTATATTGATTGATCTTAGATCCTGCAACCATGCTGAACTCACGCGTCAGTTCTAGTAGCTTTTCCTTTTTTCTTTTTTTAGATTTCATAGGCTTTTCTACATAGACAATGTCATCCATGAATAAAGACAGTCATCTGAGAGGCTGTGTTCTAATAAACTCCATCCTCAGGCTGCAGAAGGAAATAGAGGGACAATCCAAGCTGAAGATGGTCGAGGCCAGCAAGTTACCCCACGGGAGCAGATCCATAGACCTAATGGTTCTGCTTAGGCTAATGTTACAATGGACTGACATTCTATTAACACCGGGGGACACCCTCAGTGTAGATCACTTGATTATCTATTCTCACCATGGTTATGAGCCCAGATGTAGGCTGACTAAAGGCAAAAATATCCAGCCTCGGGTTAGAAAAATGTCACCAACCCCGTCCACAAAGCACCACCTTCCCTCACTTCGACCTGCACGAAACTCCATCCCAGTCTCCAGGCCTTCCGTCTTGCCACTCCAGTCCCATCTCCATAGAGCCAGACGGCATAAACACGTAAGTGACAGCATTCCAGCCCTGCACGCAGAATAACACAATCCACCCTCCCCACCAGGCCTAAGCAGCCCTCTGGACTATTTCTTCCCCGTCTCCCCCAGCCAAGCTCGTGCCAAGGCTTCTCTCTGCGGGAAACATTCCCTCCACGCACCCTGTTTTCCCTGCCTTCCACTCACCACATTTGTCGTTTAATTTTACATTAACACAGCACTAGGAGGGCTGGGACCACGGCTCTTTTGTTTATCCCAATGTCTTAACAATGCCTGAGAACTGCTCAGTTGAACAAAGTAAATGGTTTGAATGACTGCCAAGCTCTCTCCAGCTACATACCCCCTCATCTACTCACGCCCAGTCTTTGTGAAGGAACTTACCCTGTATCTCGGGTGTTTCTCTTCCCTTAGAAAGGTGGCTTAAAACTGTGGCCGCGTGTTAGAATCTCCTCAGATGATTCTAGAACATAGTAACACTTGGACCTTCCGGCAGCCCACAGAAATCCAAGTCTCTGGGGGTAGGACCCACGGATTTTTTTTTTTTTTTTAAGCTCTCTTGGTGATTCTGATGTGCATCCAGAGTTGAGACCTACCAGCATAGAAGGAAAGGCTGTTTTCATTCAGCCAGGGGAGAAAGAACCGTTGAGGGGCTCACCCCGGAAAGGCCAGCAGGTGGGCTATGTCAGGAACCCCACCCACCTCGACTTCCCCCAGCTCGGCCTCCTGCCAGAGCTGCAGCTTAGTCCTGGGCTCTGTTCATTCCAGTGGAGCAGGAAGAAAGCAGGAAACCAGACCAGAGTGGAAAGCATTTTCAAACTTTATTTACAACTGTCACAGTGACAAAAAGTAGTTTGGAAAAAAAAAAAAATGCTAGTTTCTCCCTGAGCCTCAAAAAAGAACAGATAGAAGTTACAGGAGGTTCATCTTACAACAGGCATTTTTACTGAAATACTAGGGGTTTTTTTTCAATACGATCAGTTAGAAATACACACGTTACTTAAAAAAAAAAAAAAATAGAGGAGGCCAGACAGGAGCTCAGCCATTTATCCAAGAGTGGCTGGGTTCCCCCAACAGGCTCACCGCTGAGGGTTCTGACTTCAGCTGTCAGCCTCTGGCCCACTCAGACTCCAAATGGTCATACAAAGGGGTCTAGCGACCAGCAAAAATAATAAACCACCTCCATAAACACACATATACACAAAGTAGATTTGTTATGCAGTTTACAAGCACGTTCCCATCACACGGCAAGACCAGGACAGATGATAGAGAGGAGCAGATGAGAGGGGGACACAGAAACACGGGATTTTAAAAGGCAAGACCCCATCCACAAAGGGAGGTGGGATGAGAATGCAGCTGTGGGGAAGGAGAGCGAGGAGACTCTGCAGCCAAAACAGAAGGAAAGGGAGAGCGCGCATGAGAGAGAAACCCCACAGTGCAGGCTGCAGGCCTCTCCGCCTTCCACAAGGAGCTGGAAGAAGTTATTGCCATTGGTGTGTAACACAAGCAAACAACACAGAGGGAGGGAGCAGGGGGCTGGGGTGAGCATCGGCTCCCCGGGACCAAATCCTGCTGACCGGCAACAGCACACCTTCATCTTTTGTCTTCCTGCCTCAACACTGCCCAGAGCCACACTGACCTTGAGGTATTAAATACATCTCTACACTCAAATTCAAAACCGGGGTCAACCTGGACCAACTGGACACCTGAGGGGACATGGTCGGTGCCTTGGCTCCAGGGAGGCTCTTGAGCCCACCTCTTGGCCACTCAGTCCTGCTCTGAGATGGAGCCGGTTTGAAGTGTGTCCTGCAACCTGCTGCACCACATGGTCCCTAACTATGACAAGAAGCTCTAAGTCCAAGGCTAGCTTTCTCATACAACAGCCCTTGCAGTGGACAGGTGGGAGGTGGGGAGGGGTGAGGACCACTGTTCAGTGCTCCCTCATCACACCGTCTTCCCACTGGCATCCAGGAACAACATGGGGAGAAGCCAGGGCTCTCAGGACACCCTTTGGTTTCAGACTTCGATCCCCAGGCTGCAATACAAGAGCCTCATCACCCGCATCCAAAATTCCCAGCTTAGCCAGCTCTCGGCACCTGCGTTAAAGCTCACCTCCCCAACAATAAGCAGAAAAAGCCGCCTCTGCTCGCCACTCAGCTCCCACCAGAAAAACAGGCCACGCGCCCACAGGGGTGTGGCGTTCAGGCTGGCTGGAACCCACAGCACTCTGGGAACCACCTCTGCCTGACTGCCGTGGCCAGGGACCAGGCAGGGTGGCGGTAGGAGAAGGAGCGAGCAGCCTGGGAGAGCCCACCTGCTCTGCACTTCCACTCAGACTGGGGCAAGTCTGGGGAGCAGTTGGGGAGGGCCCTTCACGTGCAAGTGTCCACTTCAGGGGCAGCAACCAGGGTGGGAAGTGTTCTCACTACTCCAAAAGGGCCAGGGAGCAAAAAAGATAAATCAGGGGAGAGAAGCTCAAAAGCCCTGGCTCCTAAAACCCTCCCGGTTACCGCGGGTCCGTGAACACGCCACAGCGGGAGCACAGGGTCGGCAGAGAAGGAAAAGGGAGACCTTTTTCTCTCCTGCGCATCACCTCCAGCTGGCTTTGCAGGCAGCCAGTTTCCATGGCTCTCCTTTACCTGCCTCCCGGTATCAACACACCAGAAAAAAAGCAAAGGCAGCAGTGGGCGAAACCAGAAAGAGATGAAGACTCTGTTTTCTGATACCCCAGCAGCCAGAGAGAAGGCTCACTGGATACTTCCTGGCTGTACTTCTCTGCTCAATGTCTTCTTTAAAACGTGCATTTTCTCTTTCGTCTCGTGTTTGTTTTCTTACCCCAAATGTTCCTCGCTCGCTGTGCACAGCCCCTATGCCCCCCGCCCCCAGAGCCCACTGGAATCCCACCTCGGCCTCTAGCCTGCTTGAGTTCAGATAATGATCTCACAGGCGCACCCACTTCCCCACATCCCCCACCCCTGCTCTAAGCAGCTTCCTTTCTCAGAAGGCCTTGCAAATTGTCGCAGAGGGCTCCACTGCCCGACACATTTCAAAAAAAGAAAAGAAAAGAAAAGAAAATCAACTCAGTGATTTGCAGGTGCAAAACGGAAGCCATCGTTTGACATTTTCAGAACTATTGTGGCTCACTCTCTTCTTCCATCATAATGGGAAAGAACAGTTCAGGTACAGATGCTGTCTGGCACGACCCCGTGGGAATTGGCGGGGACTCTACTGCTCCTTGCTCTCTTTCACCGTCTCTTCACAGTTGTCCTGCTCATCCTCCTGGACCAAGAACTCCTCAGGGGGCCACCGGAGCTCCCCGCTCTCCACCTCCCCCTCTGTGGGTTCCACCACAATGGAGGGGAGGCGGTCCTTCAGTTTGCAGCAGCGGTCGAAGTCTGACGGGTCGGGGAAGATCTGAAATAAAAGCAGAGCGAACACCGGTCACATACAGATCCAAGCAGAGAAATCCCATTCCTTCATCTCTCAGACACACAGAGAACTGAGCACCCGCTGTATGCCAGGGACGGCGCTCAGCCCTCGGGATACTCAGGGGCACAGGCAGGAGCCAGGGAGTAAATTCTGGGGCAACATAGGAAAGCATCCCTCCGCAGACTCGGACTCTACTCCTGAAGCTCAAAGTTTTCAGGGCAGCGCCACAGAGTCTAAACGGGGCTGTAGCTCTGTTTGTATTTTTTATTTTATTTTCAAATGAAAGACTTCAAAATCATGTCATCCACAGTAAATCACACCTCTATTTGCATCAAGCATTTTACTCAAGCAGTCCAAAGCAGACAACAGGTTCCACGACATGAAATTCCTCCCATGTCGATTATTGGCACCTAGTATGAGCCACTACCAACTGCTTTGCATATATAATTTTGAACCAACACAGACATGCTAAAGGACAGGTGTTGCTGTGCCATCTTTAAAAAATTTCAGGCTTGGAGAAGGAGGTTGCCTAAACCATACAGCCTGGAAATGAGAGGTGGTTGACTGAGATTCTAACCATGTCTGTTTGACTCCCATGCCCCAATGCCACCTGCCCCTCAAGCACATGGGTCCTATCTTGCTGCAACTGTAAAGTCAAGGCCAAATCAGGGTTGAGGGCGTGGCCCCAGCCACAGGCAAGCTGGGAACAAAACCCCAGGCTCCTTTTTCACCTGTGAACAACTCCTGGCTCCTGGACGGCTCTGCACCTGGAAGAGTCTGTTTCTCTTCCCAGAGTCCCGTCAACGAGGCTTGTTTTTTCAATGCCTACTGTGTGTCCTACCCAGAGCTGGGAGAAATCCCAAACCAGGCTATAAAATCGAGGGCCATGTCAGGCTCTGTGGATTCCCTTTGCACACACTGCCCTGTGACTACCGCTGACCCAATTCTTTGCTTAAGCTCTTAATCCGATGGGCTGCTGGCCCCTTGCCACTCACAGTCCTCAGTGACACACCGAGAGCCAGAGAGAGGAGTCTCTGTCTGGGACACGGGGGCTCACAGAATCACAGATGTCGAGAGCCACATGGCACCTTCAAGCCCATCTCTTCAAACCTCTCCATTTAATAGACCAGGAAACCATGGCCCAGAGGGGTCAGGAGAATTGCTCAAGGCCACACAGCTTGTTAATGACAAGAGAAAGGAAAGCAAAACCAGGAGTAGGTGGAGACACACACATGAAGAGATCCTGGGGCTTGCCTGAGCCTGGCTCAGCTCGAGACAGGCCCACGGCAGCAGACAGGTATCCTCTGTTCTCAGGAGGTAGGAGAAATGCTCTCCTACAAACTCAGGCCATCTCAACTTCCGTGGTGCCTAACCTTACTGCACCCCAACCCCAAGCAGTGCTGTCCCAGTCAAGTCACTGAGCACGTCACAGGCCACGTGAGGCTTCTGGGAATCACGGGCCTCAACAAAACCTCCCCAATCCCTGTAGACGAGTGATTATTAACCATTTATCCAATAAAGCCCGATTGCTGGGGATTAAGCCTTAAGCCAGCTGCACAACCAGGCATCATTAAAGACTTAACAAGGCTCATAAAAAGTATAGTAATGGCAGCCAGGAGGAAAACAAGCCGGGGAAGGGGTTTGGCTAGTGGGGTGAAAGGAGGCGTGGGGAAAGTTCACCCCTACTCCAGGCTTTCTCTTCCTGATGCGGCCAGCCCTGCAGTCCTACCCTTGGACTGTGCTCTGCTCACGGATCCACAGGTACCGATAAGGGAGAGGGTCCGGTGGCCTCTATGGGCCCCTCCTCACTTCTCCTCTTGTGGAGCTCAAGCCCCTCCCTGGGGGTGAGGACACAGGCAGCTTCCAAGCACAAGCTTTTGGGAGTGAGCGAGGGGAACCCCAACGCGTGGAGAGCACGCCCTGGTTGACAAAGCTCTTTCAGACATCACCTAGATCTGCTGTTTTCAGCGTCTGTGCCTTTTGGAAAATGAATGGATGCCTCGGGGTCAACACACCCATTTCATAGATAGAAAACTGACCAGGGAGAGTGGGCAAGACTCTGAGCCCATTCAGCTGCTGGAGGCCCCAGTTTTAGGCACCAGGATGACCACCTGGGCTGCCAGGTCCAGAAGATAAGCTTCCCAGTCTGGACAGTTGTTCTAAATCCTCAGGACCCAAGACGGAGCTGTGAAACATCAGGAGGGGATGGACATCTGGCCCAGTACAGACCTGGGCCCTGCCTCTGCCCTCTGCCCTCCAGGCCAGGGCAGCGCCCACCCTGTGACTCCCTGCTGAGAGATGTGGCAACCGGATTCTAATGATGATCCCCCAAGCCCAGGAAGAGCAAAAGGGACAAGAAGCAGCAAGGCCGGCAGAAGGACGAGGAGGACGGTAAGGGCGGAGAGTCCGTGATTTCATTTCAGGCTGGGAATAGGTCTTTAGCTAAAATTAGAGGAAAAAATGTTAAAATGATAATGATGATGATTATAGAAGATATGCCAGGGACATTTTCTGAGTAGCATCTCAACCTTTACAATAATCCCATGAAGTATGTAGTGGTGTGATCCCCATCTTATAGATGAGGAAACTGAAGCACAGAGAGGGCAGGTGACTCGCTTAAGGCCACAGGCTAGGAAGCGGTTAAATGGAGACCCAAACTCAGATGTATAAGACTCCCAATGAGCCATTCATTTGATGACACGTTGTGTCAAGCCAGAGACCCCACTCTCTCTATGTCCTTGACATCAACTGTATACCTTACCAATCCTCTCAACCACCTGTGCCTCGGTTTCTCTTTTTGAGAAGCGAAGTGACCTTCTTGTCTCACTGGATAGGTACAAGGTTTTGGCAAATACAAAGATAAAACGCTTTGAGGACATATGCTAAATTCGAACTGGCATGTCCTCTTTGGAGCCGTTTCAACAGGACAACGGTAAGTGATCTGCGAGCAAGAGGCAGCGGTACTAATACAGTAATTAAAATAACTCCAAACAATGCCTTTCATACCCAGAGCGGCACAATTAAGTCTTTTAAGTCCTTGGGGGAAGTCTGAGCATTGAACTTCTGATACTGCTTAGCTGCCAGAGAACTTTGCTCCTGGAATTACTCAAAGCAGGTGCCATTAAAATTTTCCTTTTACAAAGCCTGTTAATTGCATTTTAAAAAAGAACTATAATCATCTAACCCATCAGAGATTTTATTTTATTATCAGATAACGTCAATTTATGCCTCTGAAGATGGTAGCTTTCTCCACAGACAAACAAGATGCACCCAGAACCAAACAGCTTCTCATTTCCTTACACGCAGACAGAAAGCCTCGCAAAGTGTTGCTGAGTATTTTGCCAGCACAATCTTATCTCCAACAGCTGCTTAAGAGGCTGACCCTAAGGAGGTCAAGATTTTTCCACTAAGTCATGCTTTTTAATCATCTAGGCAGCAGAAAAATGAGAGGTTGCAACTGCAATTTGAAGGGGTGGGGAAGGCAGTGGAAAAAAGGACTCAAGTCAGACTTGCCAAGCACATGACAGGTACAGTTGATGCGGCAGGCCAGCCCAGTATGCTGTTTGCCTGCAGGAGCTGGCAGGGAATAAAGAACTGCCCCTGTTCCAAAAGGAAACTGCTTCTGGTTAAACCTCTTACACCAAAGAGCCCTTTCTCGCTGGATGGAGAAAGGAAAAAAAAAATCTTTTTCTCTTCTCTCTTCAGCAAAGGCTCATCTCCAAGAGTCCAGAAAGGAAGATAGGGAGGCTCTGAGAAGCATTTCCCACCCACACCCCCAGGGCAGGGCAGATCTAGAAGCATCCATCCCACACTGGGATTCCCTCAGCCCTGCCCCTTCCTCTCTCTGCCAACACTGGACTGCACATCCAGCTGTCACCTTTGGCTGCCAGGGCTCATGGCTTGGATGAAACTAATAGACACCAAGTCCCTCCTTTGCAAATGGAGTGAAGTCTTGAAGATCAAACACATCAAGAAGATCCTAGGTCCCTCATGTCCCCTGTGTAGGAATAGCAGGCATTCAAACTTGGTAATGGTGAAATTTATAGAACACATTTCTTCAGAGGCATCCTTTGCCAGGTGGCCTTCAAACCCAACAGGCCCTGACGTTCGGGGAACTCAAATGAGTTCACTGGAAAGGTCAAGGGAGCTTAGGACCTTCTAGGGGGAAGAAATGGTCTGTGTGATATAGTTTGGATGCCAATATACTGGAATTTCTGGTTGTATAGATCTGAGCTGTCCAATAGAACTTTCTGCGATAATGGAAATATTTTCTATCTGCACTGTCCAACAGTAGCCACTAGCCGCATGTGGCTACTGAGCACTTGAAACGAGGCTAAAACTTTTAATTTTCTTTAATTTTTATTAATATAAATTTATATGATATATGTAAATATAATATAAAATTAAATAGCTACATGTGGCCAGTGGCTACCACATTGGACAGCGCAAATAAATGGTTAAGTATGAGGAGAATGAAAGCAGGATTGTCCAGGAAAACTCAGGATGTTTGGTTGATGGACCCACGTGGGCAGCCTCAGAGCAGAGAAGTCTGGGGTTGAGTGTGAGCTCCTGCAGATGAGAAATTAGTCAATAGTCTCTTTGCTTAAGTATAAAAGTTGCCGGTCAGTCAGCTCCCATTTCACTCCTGGAGGGGAACTGAAAGGTAATACCAGGGCTCCAAAGGCCTGAAATTTGGGGGCCTAGCTATCAACTGTCTGCCTCTATGCCAGGTGACCTAAACCTGGCTGCCTCTGGGGTGGGGACAAGAGAGAGATGTCTGGCACCTAGGATGGAAAATGTGAGCGATTCTGGTTGGAGCAGCCCTGCCCTGTGTGTGTGCATCCCTTAGCCGTCATCCCTGACAAAGGACCCGAGCTGGCCACAAAGAGGGAGGAGGGCTCCGCAAAGAGCTGAGAGACGCTAATAGGGAAAGCGGACACCAGCAGGTGGAGGAGATGAAAGGTGGTTAACTGGACACAAAGGGC